CGCCGCCCCGGGAGCAACAGTGAGTGGGGTAGTGCTTTGTCAAGAGAAATTCACCGAGCGGTAAATCCTCTGTTAAAACAAGTCACCGAATTAATGCTAAAGTTGAGCACATATAAAATTACAGCTCTGCTACAATACCCAGTCACAAAACTTCGCTTTATAATTTGTTCCAAAAAACCCCTCTCCCCACTACAGATTGTAAAAATGTCAAACACTAAATCAAAATTGGTCTTGGTTCAACTCTCTATAAAATTTTAATGACTGTGCTCCTGTTAACTAAATAGTTGAAACAAAAATAGCAAGTACTACATATGCTCTTTTTAAACAATAAATAAGCATTTTTTAAACAAGAATGGAATAGAAACTTTACACATCCAAAATACAATATACAACCTATTTCAAAAATGACTCGAATACAGAAACAGTAAAACCATGTTACAAACTGCATGTAAGCTTTCCTATGTGACAGCTGATTCTGCGCATTGCAGCTCTTCCTTCAAGTTCCACAGTTTAACTTACTGATTTTCCTACTTAGAGCAAGATGTCTGGCTCCATCATTTGGCTGGATGGTCAGACAGAGTTGGGTGGAATCGAACAGTAAGATTCAGCAGTGTTAGCAAATTAGTAACCTTTTTCAAGCCTGACACGTGTGAATCTTCCAAAGGTACGGTGTTCAACAAATTTTATCTCTTCAGAAAGGCTGATGCAATAAGGCTGTCGTAAAGTTTCAGACTTGAGCCATATTTTATCCAACCAAAAACATTTTGTGTCATGTCACCTTCAAAAAGAACAAGTTGTATGGACCGTCTCATTAAGACCATGGCAGAAGTTAACAATATATACAAACAGTTTTATCAGGTTCCTATTATGCAGAAAACAAAAAGAGACTTCCATAAAAAGGATTGCTTTGTTCTCAAACTTCACTTAGAAACTCAGCTAACATACAGTTGTTCTGTAGCTTTAGTAAAGTTCACAAACAAAAGACTTTACTGTATGCCGTAAATAAACCCAAGTGTTCAACAGTTTTGTTGCCAGTGTTCATGTGGTGCTGAGTTGACTTTGTCTCTCAGTCTCAGCTTTCTTCTCTTGCCGGTGGTTAACTGCAGCCCAGAAGGTTATTTTTTTCAGCACTTGCTGCAGAAGTTTGGATGGCAAGTATGGTATTTGGTTCTTTAGGAGAGTTGCGTTTTTACCAATGCAGTCAAGACACAACCTGAAGAAGGAAAAAAAAAAGAGGAAAAAAGAATTAGATTTAAGTAAATGGTCTATAACCTAAAGCCATAAGAGTGACAACTTAGAAAAGCTTATGTTGTTTGCAACACTTCTTGTGCCTGCATGTGCAGGAGAGTATAATACAACAGTGTTTAATCTGCTATGGACAGCTGTACATGGCATGTTTCAATTATTACTAAGCTAATTTCATATTTTACCTGCCTATGTAGGATTACACAGTTAAAACCCACATGTAAAAGCATGGTGCCGTAAAGATTTACAGAACTCCATGTGTCAGTGGCCTCAACTCACCTGAGAAGTGAATAAGGTTGAGTCTGAAATATCAACAAGTCACTGCAGTGACCCTGAGCAACGGAAAAAATGAACCATTAAAATCAGGAATGGCTTATCTCAAACATTGCTGTTTTCTACATTAATGTAACATTTACAACCACGTGCCTAATTTAAAATGGGTAATATATAATTATTTATAAATAATATGAATAACAAATTCCTTTTAATGAGCCCAACACGAGCAAGGAAAAACCCTTCTAAATTACTTTCCAAGAACACCTGAGGTCACATCTCTCACCACCACATATCAATGAACCCCATACCATCACCAATTTTATTGTTTGATATAAATTTTTATTATCATAGTGCTATAATTTCATTATTCAGTTTACTGACTGTGTCCATGAAATGCAAGTCATCTTTGCTTCCACCAAACACCATCACTTCTCCTTCTTTTCCAAGGCAGGCTGTATGCCACAATCTAGAAATAAAATTTTAAGTAGAATTAGTGATCAAGTGACAACAAGCGGTTGTGTGCTGCCAGCAAAACAAATGTTAAAACTAAATGCTTTTAAAAGTTTTGGAGAAGCATTAAGTTTACTTGTATGTTAACCTCTTCACCTCACATAGACTCTCCTCCATTCTTCACATTCAATTTCTTCTGAAAAGACTTTTGCTATAAGGATATAGGTTCCTTTTTTGCTATAAGGATAAAGGTTCCTTTTAACTAAAATGGAAAGGTCACTTTTTTAAAATCCTGTGATTCCATTACTTAAGCACAGAGCCTTGAAGTCTTACTGGCCTTGCTACTCACCCAGAAGAATCTTACAATTTTAAGTAATGGATTTTACAAGTTGCTCTGTGAGCTGCAGAAACAATAAAGCCTGTTCTTTATTGGCCTGTGTCATAAGAAGGGAAGGTGACCTTAAAGTATATCATACCATAAACTATGATGTTACTCATTTCTTTAGGAGTATAAAAGGAGAGAACAATGTGAGTATCCATCTTATGAGAATTTTGCTGAATGATTACATTTCTTGCAGACCAAAATATTTTTGTCATTATTTGACTCTTCTGATATGTATAGTTATATATACTTTGTGTTATTTATCACTACTTCGAGAAAGCGTTACAGTGGAAAATTTTTAGAAAACAAAGTAACTATACAAAACAAGCATTTGCAAAGAACAGCTTTGTTTTCCTTTTTAAGATTTTCCACTATTTCTTTATTTCATTACTACAATTCTAATGGCTATAAGAGTGGGGGTTTTCAGTACTGACTCTTACCCCAAACACTAGGATGAGAGCTTCAGAACACGGGTTATCCTGTTTCAAGTTTTAAGCTTCCCCCCGAAGTTTCCTGGGGATCATTTACTTACATCATGCCCACATGTAAATTTTGTGAAATGCATATAAAAGCACATGGTATTTAAACCCCCCCAAAAAAACAAAACCAAACCTGACTTGAATAATCTTACTTTAACAAAGATTCTGCTATTTCAGCAGTTACACCTTACTAGATTTATCTTTTATTATTAGCAAATCAAAATCTGTAATTTTTCTACTGGTGTATCACTACTGAAGTAAGCATCACAAGATGATTATCACCACAGAGCTCTGGCCCTTTAAATCTACTTAACCACAATAATGTGCACCAGTAGAACGTTCACACAAAAGTAAACATTCTCACTTTCTTACTCCATTCATATCAGTAATTATTCACCATCCTCCTCAGGCTAAACTGTATCCCACCTTTTCTCTTCCTCATACCTGTAGATAGATCTGTCTCTGCCTTATCTGCATTACGAAAACTCTGGCCTGGACTTCGTCACCGAAGAACACTGGGAAGCCTTTCCTGCCTTGATTCTGTTGACATCCTAGCTCGCAACCTGGGGCTTTTTCTACAGACTGACAAGAGTTTTTGTCCTCTCACAGCTACTCTAACTTAGCACCTAAACATTCTAACAAAACACATTAATTACACAGATGCTGAACTGATGTAACCTTTTTACACAGCTCTTCTAACTAGAATAGCAGAATTAAATTGTAATTAAAATGCTAGGAATCTGTAAGTTAAACATAAAATTTGTTCCACATCTTAACTTATGATGAAAAATGTTAGCTGAAGTACAACTGATGGTCAGAAAGAAAAAGAAAATATTTTCTACCAATACAGAATCACAGATCTATAACCTGAAAGACAATTTTTTAGAAATTATTAAAAATAAAAGTTGAAGGAAATTAATCTTTACAGAATTTGAGGAGGGACTCAATTTTGAATAAGCAACAGGAAAATACATGAATGCATATGTGACATACTGTGCATTACTATAAAATAATAGAAATATATAAAAGAAGTACACATACATGTACTATTGCCAGTGCATTTTGCATCCTGTTGTAAAGTCATGAGCAACAGAACTGACCTAAACCTTTTTCAGTTGTAGAGATGCTGCAGTAATCCCATGTAAGTATAGGGATATAATTATGGTACAAGTAAGCACTTCACACTCATCATAGTTCAATACAGAGAAATGCTTTTGGTATGGCCTCTTTTATCCATGCTTCCAGGACTTCCTGAGAAATGCTGAAGTATTTTTTTAGTTTTTTTTAAAAAGGGGAGCAGTCATTTACTTCAGTAAACAATTAGGTCAATGAAAGGCAACTCTCCTCTGCCTACAAAGTGCATACCAAAACCTTGAGGTGGTAAAGAACCACAGGACATGTTTGGACTTGAGGGAGTTCTGAGACTCTTGTCAGCATGTCACCCAAAAGCTTTGTTCCCTTTGGGGAGTCTGGGCTGCATGTGCAGTACAGTTCCCAGCAAATTTAGTGGTGTCAACCTTAGGAACCCTCTTTGGTGCTTCTGCTGCAGCAAGGAAGGTGGCTTGTTCAATAGCCTCTCTGCCAGCACAGCCAAGTGACAGTTCGACTTTGCAGCCCAGCATGGGATCTGCCCTTGAATTGCCTGAAAACCACCTGGGGTTTGAGAGTCACAATTCCCTACATCCAGCCCTACTGCCAGAGGTTATTCCAGCTTAATTGCAGAGCAAAGGCTGAGCTGCAGCTCCCTGAGTTGCTGCCCGCAGAAAAAACATATTCAGTCCCTTCCTGATCCTTTTTCATGATGCACTAGTAAAAATAACTACACAATTCCACTTCAGCAGTTAACTTTTATGAGACCATCCATGTAAAGAACTGAACACAAGGACAGACGTGATCCTTGACTGCTAATGATGTACTTTAAGGCAGTTAAATGATGTTATTTAAGGCAGTCATTAGTCCCTTTATCTATCAGTTCCCTAATTGTAAAAACACAGAAAATATTCTATGAAGCTAAGATATATGTTTATTTGGGCTTGAAAGAGTCTGAAATATAAGAAAGCAGAAAACTTGGTTTAACAGTGCTCTTATATTTAAAAGACACCCTAGAATAGGATAAAACAGGAAAAGAAAATTAATTGAGGTAAAGATATTTCAGTAATATAACAACAGAACGTAAGGCAGGCAGCATGCAAATGCCAGACCAGAATTGTACACTATGCTTAAAAAAAATAATCTATAAAATTGTGCTGAGAGTACCTGGGTGAATGTGTAGAATGACCTCCATGAAAAACTGAGTATTTAATATCTACAGCAAATCAATTCAATAGTGTTTATGTTACAAATACAGAGAATGTTTTAAACACTGTGTTAAAAAATAGTCTGTGCTCTGGTACAGCAAGCACCTGTTTTCAGTGGCAGCTTCAACATGAAACTTGCTTTCTTTAGTCAAAAAGAATCTGTATTTTTCTGTAGTCTGAAACTAGAGGGAAGTGATACAGAGCCTGGAAGAGACAGTATTATTGTTCATACTGGCAACACATTCTAGAAGTGGGTCATTCTGGTTGGCAGTTAAGACCTTGAAAAATTATAAAACTCCACAGTCACTTAATGTGCTGTTTAGTACTAAATTCAGTTTTGCAAAACTGTAATCATAATTAGGTGCTCCTGCTCAGGGCAAAAAACCAACCAACCAACCACAAACAACCAAGTTAGTTTATAATACTTTTAAACCCTAAAAGGTGCATCAACATTTTCATGGTTCTCTCCCCCATGTTTCTAATAATGTATCAACATTAATCAACCTCTATTATTCACATAGGTTATTAATTCCTCAAAGTTATGTGATTACATATTCTTGTATAAAAAAAAATTTGGCTATAGAACACCAGGTTAGTTGGACACCCAGATTCCTCATCACAAAAAAAATAATCTTTCAATTCAAGTAAGCATCGACTATAACGAATACAGAAAGTTATAATGTTGTATCAGGTATGAAGGAACATAAGTTAGTAAAGCAAACCACAGTAATTTTCTAAAATATTCTTATACTATAGCTTAAAAATACTGTTTGGTAATTTAAAATTACTTCATTTTTAAAAATGCTTATATTTCAGCAAACATGATCTATTTTTGTATACCTAGGCCTACTCTTAGGCAAATGGGTAAGTTGTTTCCATCCATTTGTTGTAATGCTGTGAATCCAGCCATCACCTACAATATAAGAACATACATTAGCATCTTTTTCTGGGACCTTTTGTATTTATACAAAAAACTCTGTGTTCTAAGAGCACATTATATTAAGATAACAGTAACATCATCATGACATTAACTTGCATCTTTTCAGTCTGTAACTTAACCACTCAGCCACAGAAAGCATGGAAATCTGGACTTAAAATACACTTTTTTTTTTCTTGATATATTGAGAAAATCACCTGCTCTCAGTGGAATATATCTGTGACACTCAAAACTATTTTCACCGATTTCACATTTTTTCATGAAAAGAAGTTGCCTTTTCTAGAAAAGCAACTCAGTATAAGACTGTTCTATTTCCTATTTAACATTTTGTAGCTGTGATTTGTTACTCATCCAAAAATCTACATTATGTTGATATTACTATTTATATCTTCTCCATGTAATTGCTATTGATATCAAGTTACCCCTTGTTCATATCAAAAAATGAGACTCTTGCCTTTATTCTTTTTAGATGACAAGACAGTTTGAGGAAAGATTTATTATCGTATGTTCCCATTGTACTACACAATGAATTTCTATAAAAATAATAAAATAGCTAGAGAAATAGTCAGTGCCATGAAAATTCTGTAGCAAGATTTAGGTCAAAGTTGTTTAAGAAAGACAGCAAATGTGCACACTACATGAGGTTAGTACTGAAATGTACCACAGAATCATAATCTCTAAATTACTTACTTAAAGGAACATCATCAGAACTTAGTCCACCAAAAAGAAAAAGTCTGTCATCTCCTATAGGAGTCAACGTGTGCCAGGATCGATCTTTCGGTTTCTCTCCGCTGATACTAATTCTTGGTGAAACAAATAAACAAAAACAAACGTTTAAAGAATGCTGAAAATTAACCTGCCAAAAAATTTAACAATTTAGTTTGTCACAGAACAAGCCTCGATATTTTCCTGGTGAAACTGCACTTAAGCAATCTGAGTTTACTCTTGAGAAGAGTAGTGTTCAAATCTAAACACAGCAACTTCCTGTAGTAACTGTTCTCTGAACAAATGTCTGAATGTACGTTTCAAATGTCAGGTATGTACGTATCAAATGCAAGGACAAAAGCATTAATTGTTATTTTGCTTATTTTCTTAAGATCACTAATGCCACTACTTAAATGTACAACTGAAGCCACTTAGGACAGTAAAGGATGGACTACATATTCAAATAAAGTGCACAGAACATGAAGGTAAACAGACTCAGTTATTTGAGATAAAACATAATGAATCCTGAGGGCTACAGTCTCTCTTCTAGGAAAATTATCTTAAATGATGCAAGAACTGTGGCCTTACCTTCTATTCAAAAGCTACTATCTCTTCAAACATTGTGCCTTTTAACACAATAGTGAGTCACCCAAATTTTGAGATAAATTTTAGTAAAAAGTGGAATTCTTAAGTACAAAACAGATGAAGGTTTATTATTCAAGAAATTTGCTCATGTTACAAAAATACAGATTTGATTTTTGTTTCATTTTAGCTACACAGTTAAGTATGCTCGAGATGAGAAAATGAGCAGTAAAGAACCTGAACATAATGGATTACCTGTAGTGGGTGGCCTGAATTCACACCATTTAGCTGTATAACTAAGTTTAGGCATTTAGGTGTACAGCTGTCTCAGGAGGATCCCAACAGAACCAGCACATAAGAAGGACCTCCAGAGGGCATCAGCCCACCTAGTATCTCAATACTATGCAAAGAGGCAACTCCTGTTGTGAAGTATCTGAAGTTACACACAAAGTAGTCTAGGCCACTGCATACTCAATATGTCCTCATTTTGGAAAGCTGGTGGAAAAAGCAGGTGCAAACACTTACAAGCTCTCTTGCAGTGCCCAAATTTTAGTGGGAGACTGCCCAGAGCAGGTAAGAAAGAAATGTTCAAGCCAGGTAGACTATATCTCAAAGAACCAGTTACTTTTTAATACGTCCTCTTTGCTAAAGTGAGGTCAGTGTCATATACACAGATGTGTACTCAATCTACAATATGAACAGTGCAGTCATCTGTATTTCCTTTATCATCAGTGAAGAGAAACAGGTCCTTCGAAAGAACAACTCTTGATTTATGTTACATGTCTGACTTAGCAGCAGTTGTCTTGTGCTCAAGAAGTGCCTGTTTCTCTTAACTGAGCACAGAGGAGGCCTGGGGTGAGCAATACAGGCATCCGCAGTTCAGTTAGAGGAATTTCACTGCTGGTGACTGCTAAGCAGTTCTCCATCTGGAAGCAAAGACTGAAAAGCCATAGCTAATTAAACTGTGATTGCAAAACTGTCCTAAATTTGGCACTGAAGTTGAAGCCAAGTCACAGTCTTTGAGTGCCTGCTTTGCACAACTCTTGTATAAGATGCTTCTAAAATTGGCAAAGGGGCACACTGTGCTGAGATACAACCAGCTTTGATGTTTAGAAAACTATATACCAGATACAGATGGGTGCTAACATTTCAGTCTTTCACACTACTGATACAAAAAATTATCACAGTAACAGATATGATATTGAATGTTTTGAATAACAAATCAGTAGAGCTCAGGGAAGGCAAAGTAACTTCTGGGTAGTGGCAAACAAATATTGCAGTGTCATGCTCAAATATATTCCTGAATTAGTAGAGGTTAATATTATGCAATTCCTCAAGAAACCTGCATAGAATTGCATAAGAAAAAAACATCAAAAAACTCTTGACATGACTGGTTAATGAGAAGCCATGGGGCTTTAAATAAAATCATTATTGTAGTTGGAATTTTTCTTTCAGAAGATGTCTGATAAGTGAATTTGAATGCAGGACTGTACAAACCAAGTCCTCCTTGCTCTGTATTTTACAGAACTTCAAACAACTGCAGTTAGTTTGTCTTGGTCAGCAGAATTCAGACAGCCAAAGTTTTTAATCTATATTAAGTCCTCAAGTCTTGTTTGGTGATAATTCACATGGGCAATCAAAGGCAATCTCTCTGCAGCTGCAGAATGGCTGAGATAATTCTGTTATCAAGATAAGAAAGGCTGCATCCTGCCCAATTTTTAATTCATTATTGGATCAGAAATTTCAGTAGAATGGAGTCTAAAGCATTGCATAAGAAAGGAAAGGTTCCTTGCAAGAAACACCTAAAGGAGAAAATGCTTACCCTAACAGCAAACAAGTCTAAAGGAATTTCCCCACCTGTAAAATACTGGAATGACATTAGGGCTTTTTAGAGGGAGTTTTCAGCTGCAAATGGATTGTCCAATTAGAACTATTCAACTGGTATTCAAAGGATGTAGTGATTTTTCTTTTCTTTACACTCTCAATACATAACTATATTGGCCTCCGCAAGCGTTTCTTTGCTATATAAATTTCAGACAAAAAAAGAAGAAAGAAAAAACCTCAACTACCTGTTTACTGTCTTATTTTATGATGTTGTCTGTGGAATCACACAACTTTTAGGACTGAATTCTTTGTATTGGAGATGATCCCTAGAAATGCCCACTTTCTAATACAGCCACCACTTTGATTTTATGAAAAAGTGTAGCCAGAAATAATTTTCCAAACAAGTTGTGCAAAGACTAACTATAAACTGGAGTAAAAATGTAAATACTAATTTGAGATTGTCCTGAAAGATGCACTGATTTTTGCCAAGTAATATGAGACGATTTTACCATAGTAGGTAATTATTAGTCACAAATAAATTATTCGGAGGATACATCATCTAGCCCTAGGAAATTACCCTTTCCATCCCCCCAGTTTGCAGCTGACAATGGATCAACTAAATTCAGCTAAATTCTGCCACCTGTGATTAGCCTGAGTTTTATTTGCCCCAAGATCAGTCACTTGAGTAAGAAAAGAACAGCACTCAGGCCATGAAGCATCCTGCAACACCAGCCTTTGGTTAATTACCCCTCTAGATACGAATAAATATGAATGCTTTACCACCTGTGAGATGCCACCACAGCAGCAGACACTCTGCAAAGACTTTTTTTTTTTACCTCCTAACCTCTTAAATTTATTTTTTTTAAAGTCTTTCCCCTCCTCCCGCCCAGTTTCTCAAAGATTCTGCAGAGATGCTACAGAATGGCTGGACAGTAGGCTCCTAAATTTATACTGATCAAAGTCTCTACTGAATCATGGGTAAGTCTTGTGAGCTATTCTTGGATCACAATATAGATATAATTGAGTATGGAACAATCTTAGTTTTTAGGAATCTAGGCTGCATTTAGTGTTACTATCTTTAGTCTAAGGATGTGTGTCTATACCTATGAAAAATCAGTCTGTTGTGTTCAGGTGAAGACCAGAGAACACTTTTAAAAACTTCAGTATTATCTTTCAAATGCCAAACAAAAGGGAACACTGCCTGAAGACTTAGAACTTGGACATCCCTCCTTCAGGGCTTGAAATTCCTTTCACTGACTTCTCACTCAACTGTCCCAGTTTTCCTTTTGAAAGGTGATAAAAAGCAAGCAAACAGCAACTGCTCATGCAACAACAACAAAAAGTAAGCAGCTAAAGCAATAATCTGACTATGCTATCATTTAGGAAGAGCACTGTTAATTCTAAAACAACCAGCAAAGAAAAGGGGGGATTAAACTGATTAGTTAACTATAAATGTTAACTGAAGAGATCTTTGAAAGGACACTGTGGGATGACTTTGTGCTGCTCCCATCAGCAGCACAAAGGAATAGATGAAGGATTGTGCACTTGCAGCCCAGAAAGCCAATTATATCCAAGTCTGCCCCAACAGAAGTGTGACCAGCAGGTTGAGGGAGGGGATTCTCCCCCTCCACTCCGCTTCTGTGAGACCCCACCTAGAGCACTGCATCCAGCTCTGCGGCCCCCAGCACAGGAAGGACGTGGATCTGCTGGAGCAAGTCCAGAGAAGGCCATGAAGATGCTCAGAGAGCTAGAGCATCTGCTACGGAGACAGGCTGAGAGAGCTGGGCTTGTTGAGCCTGGAGAAGAGAAGGCTCTGGGAGTCCTTAGTGAAGCCTTCCAGTGCCTGAAGGGGCTGACAAGAAAGCTGGAGAGGAACTTTTTACATGGGCCTCTAGGGAAAGGACAAGGGGGAATGGCTTTAACTGACAGAGGGGAGATTTAGATTAGATATAAAGAAGTTGTCCCCTATGAGGGTCGTGAGGAACTGGAAGAGGTTGCCCAGAGAAGCTGTGGCTGCCCCATCCTTGGCAATGTTCAAGGCCAGGTTGGATGGGGCTTTGAGCAACCTGGTCTAGTGAAAGGTGTCCCTGCCCATGGCAGGGAGTTGGAACTAGATGATCATTAAGGTCCCTTCCAATTCAAACCATTCTACGATTATTTCTACTCCTTTGCTTTGCTCTCAGCTCAGAGAACCCGCTTGGTGTGGGGCATATCAGCAGTCTGATTAACAGGTGATTAATGTTGTCCATCATAGGTGTATGAAGCACATAAAGCCCTGGAGCAGGACGAGTACTCAGGAAAGGTGTATTTCATGGTCTTTTATGAAATTACTGTTAGGTTACCCCGAGAATAGGAACAGAACAGTGGTTATCACCCATTTATCTCCCGGTTTATCACCTAGCAATATGCTTTTACTTGATTTTTTAAGAAATTGTTAAGATGCTTATCTTAGATGGGCTAAGATCTTTCCCCAATCTGTACCATAATCAGCCAAATATAGACAGTAAAAACAGTATTCAAAAAGACATCAAAACTAAAATTCCATATGGATAAACGTACCAGTCTTGAAAATTAAAATGTTAAATCACTACATGCTGTGCTTAAAACAGCATCATCAACGCTTTGGTGCGGAACAGAAAAAGCTTAGTAACCACTATAAAATTAAATTAAATTGAAGTCACAATATAACAGCTGTTAAAATAGTCCCCAAACTCCCATTCTCCTCTTGGAAAAGCTACAAAATTAGCAGTGGAACTATTTAACAATATGTTTCAATCTGCTACATTCAACTTTAAATGCTATAGAGAGATACCTACCTTCCAGACCAAGTCCAAGTGTCTAAATTCAGGCAGTGCAAATCATTCATTCTAGTTTGCTAAAACAAATAAATAAAATCCCAGTTGTGTTATATTAAACAAACAATGAGCAAAGTATTTCAGCAAGGCCTTCCCAGGTCAGAATATTCCAAGTAATAGCATTTTGAAGAAAACTATACCCATGTGCCTTAAACAACACTGTACTGTGTGGCAGATGAAAAGCATTTCTCCTCAAAAAACCCATGCAACTCTCAAAAAAGTACCTGACAGGAATATTTACAGTCATGCAACGGCACTATGGGGCAAATTTTAGCTTTTAGTAGTAGTTTAATAGTGAAGAACTATGTGATATTCAGTTCCTGCAAAGGTATTCCAATTTTCATCCATAGAATTCACAGTAGGTAATTGCAGAAGGTATAAACACTCTACAGATAGTTTCCTCTCATTATTTTTCTTTGCATTCTGACCAGAACTATGCATCCTCCTGCCTGGTCACTTATTCCTTGAAATATTCTAACAGGTACTGTACTGTGTACATGACATCCCACAGAAAGTTTGTCACATCTGTGTTTTTTCTCTTTTCCAGAAGGCAAGCCTTTTCACAGAGTTACTACTAGCAACAACAAGGTTCTATGACCCTTCAGCATTTGCCATAATAAAATGTATCAATAAGAACAATGGGAAGTCAATACACTTGCATATCTGCCTGTGTTTTGAGATGAAGGAGGTAAGCGTCTTAGAAACATAAAGCGAGGGGGGAGAATATAAGAATTTCTTTGCTTTAGATTGTAGCAATATCTTCAGTGGCTCTCAATACCCTTGACTGGTATTTGTGATTCCCCTAGGTACTACAAAACAGTATCTGAGAAGTAGGGAAATATATTTTGCCTTACCTTACAATTTCTTTTCTCCTAGGGTAGTACATAGATCTATTAGAATAAGTCTTTCTCCAGCTTGCAGATCCTTTGAGGCAGAAACTAGACTTGTCATTTAAGTCAGAATAGAAGTAGTTTTACCCCCGAGGACTCAGCCAGTTAGTGAGCTTGAGAGACTTCCAAAGCTGTCCATCAGAGCTATGGAAAGTCTCTCAGGGTATTTCAGGAAACAGCAAGGTTTTCAGGATAGCTATGGCCTCCTCTGATCAAGTATGTTCTAGCCCTTTTCTGTCCTAGGGAAGAGAATGTTAACTAGCATTTTGGAATGCCTTCAGACAGGCCAGTAGGCTAAAGAAAAGCAGAATGTGAGGGCTTTTATGCATCGCCTGGGAGACTTTACCCCTATAAGAGGGTGGATGTAACAGTAAAGCACAGTCCAGCTGACAGCTAGTGGAACAGATCTGTCTTCCATGGCAAGTCTATCCAGTTTCCTGCTCCCTCAGGTGGCTTTGATGGAGATGTGGAACAAATTATACAAGCAGAAAGCAAAATGCAGTTACTGAGTATCTTCTACTGTACCTGTACACGGCTAAAAACTTAGGGGTAGGGTGATAAAAAGCAACATCCTAGCCTCTAGAACTAAAAAAACATTTAATCATCTCAGAATAACATAGTTCTATATGGAGGACATCTATTAAAGAGAAGGAAGAAAGAAAATTGCTGTTATGATGGAAATTTTGGTTTCAAGAAGATCCTGTTCAAGACCTCCTCGCTGACTTTCCTTTCCTAGGCATTAGGCAGAAGACGGAGTAGCTTTCAGTTTCTTGGCCCCTGGGAAATCAATGTATTACAATCTTTACATTCTCATGATTCAACAGACTGACAGATGCATAATTACATCAATCTCATTTTGAATTCAACACACAGCATCAGTTGGACATTTACGTCTTAAGATTCAGTCCTTTAACATAGCTTTGACAAATGAAAATGCCTTTCTACCCGACCCTTATTTTGGAAACTATAGAGCACAGTCAGCTTATAGTATAGTCACTTGCCACATGCAAAGTTTTCTTGCAGTTTCTCATGTATTTCTAAATGCTACCTACTATATTTAATCATTAATCCTAAGATAATTCTTAATTGGCTTGAAAGCATCAAGCCTCATAAGAGGGTTTACATTTCCCTTTGAGCTACAGGGACTCCTTAGACATCCTACTTATCTATAGCATGTTCATTTATTTGCAGCCCAGTAAACATTAACCAGGATCTGCTTTGTCTCAGGATTAGCTTTTTAGCATGATCAAAGGCATTAAGGGTGACATATTTACTGCTCACTGCTGTTACAGTAAACTGTGCAGCTCTCCATTCTGAGATTTACAATCAAGCAGCTATCACAGCTCAAAATCTTTGTAAGAGAAGGACTGCAGTTCAACATATCTTCTGATCTTCTGTGACAGAAAGGATAACAGGAAATACAAACATGCATACATTAAGGTATCAGATGTCTGAAGAGCTGCTGGAAAGACTTATTACTTCATCATCCTTTATATGAAAATTTTCCACTTAAATCAAACATGAGACTTGCATCAAATTTTGGACTAACTCTCCTTCCTTCCCACTTTCTCCCATTTCTGTTTTTTCAGGGGCTTACCTGGAGGAACAGAGTCCACATAATACTTCTGAGCCTGTTTTCAAATGATTCCTGGTACAATTGATTTTGATCATCATCATCATCTTCTTTAACCAGTTCTAGCTCCAAGTTTGGAAAAAGGTGCCCTTTCCTCCCAGAAAGGTGAATAGGAGAAGCCTCATGACACTTCCTGGCCCTTTCTGGTTCCTTGTAGAGCCTTTTCCCTGGGAAGATTTGTATTATGGTGAACTAGAAGGAGAAGGAGGAGCAGAGCAACCCTGTATTTGCTCCTTACTTTATGGAGAAAAGCAAGACTTCATCCTTTGGGGAGGAGTTACTCCTGCTGTCAGGAAATGTAGTGTTTTTCTGATGTCTTTAGCTTTCCTTTCCTGTTTCATGACTTAACATTAATTCCTCAAGCCCCACTGAATGTTCCCTACCCTTTTTAAGTTTTCTTTCATTTATTTCTAGAATAGAAAATTAATCAATAATACTCACTAAGGTGAAAATCACACTTGCTGCTCTCCCACAAAATTAATATAGCTTTCCAAAATTTCGCTCTTCTCTGACATTGTTCCCAAGCGGTTTCACTGAAATTTAGCAAATCATTATTAAGGAGCTGATGCTACCTAAGGAAAAGAAAAGCCTTTTACAGATCAAAGCCTTCTTGCATTTCTGAATCCTATAGTAAATAGTCAAGAGTTAAATAGAAGCCAGAGGGCATGTCCTCTCAGGGCATATCTAATCATGCAAGAGCACAGTGGAGAAATGACAGGCAAGCTCCAGTTTACTAATAATTTCACCTGCAGAGGCTGCCTGAGAACCCTAGCTTGAGTTACAAAGCAGTTCAGTTGCAGCAGGCACAGTGCAGCAACCCTAACTAGTCTGTACACAACCATCAATGCTATTCTGTTTCTGGGGTGAAGACCTCTGCGTCAGAGAGATAGCCCTTGCTAACAAAAAGCCCCAGGGAGCAAGGCTTTGAAGGCTGAGGAAGTGTTCAGAAATAAACGGTAGGCAAGAAGGTCCTGAGCTGCATGTTTACTTCTTCACATCTAGGTTTCTTTCCCTCTCACATCTGCAGGCTTGCTAAATGAGGAGCAGGATTTGGTTCAGCTGTGGTTAGCAAGAGAGGAAAGAGCAAGTCCATAGCAGAGGCACAGGGCTCTTAGTCTGGCTAACCCCAACACACAAGATTCAAGCAAGACTAGATACTTTCTCAATCTCTCCTAATATCCTATTATTTCCTTAGTTATTTGCAAATCAAGTGTGTCCAAATCTACAGTTCTGGAATCTACTTGTGTGCAGTTCTCTGAGTCAGAGAGCAATAATTCTAGAGATTGTGAGCCTATATGGAAAGGCCACATTAACACATAATGAAGAATGGTAAGAATAAACAGAATCAATTTTGATTACTTTCTTTTCTAATTGCTCCGAAAATGTACTTAGGTAAAAACTTTCCTGCAGCCGTAGGAAGCAACAGACTGAAAAACTGGCTGGATGTTGCGTGGCCATTCTGAACATGCCTCAACCTGTATGTCTGATTTCTGTCTGAGCAAGCAGGAGTAAGCCATTTTGTGATATGACTGTAGTCTTTGCCTGAGAAGAACACTGCATTCAAGTACAGCTTTTACAGCTTGAAGAACAGGGGATAGGGAACAAAGTGCAATTTTACACTGTTTTATTTGCAAGTATTTAAGAATGCAGGATTTAGGTTATGGCAGCTTTCCAAGATGAAGTTGGCAAATGTTCATTGTAGGGCATTTCCAACCAACAGTTAATTCCTTCTCCTTCATGTAACAGAACTGTAGAAACACAGCACTGAAGGCTTTCAAAAGCTTCTTCACTGTTACTTTTCATAGTAGTAGAGATAAAAAGCATCAAGGCTCATCCTCTAGCTGAATATGATTAAAGGCTCTAAATTAGCTGTAGGTAAAAAGAGCTAAAAACTTAAATTAAAAAAAAAACAAACAAAAACCAGAAGAGTACAGTATACAGTACCTTAGGTTTTTTTACTTGCCTTACAGAATCTGTTTCTCACATTCCTGAGTAGACTCCAGCTCATACAGAGACCTTTAAAAATACTGTTTTCTCTGTGCTTTTGCATAGAGTTGGTACACTTTCCAGCCCATAAAGAAACTACCCTTGCAAAAAATGCACTAACGATAAGGGAGCCTGCATTAGTTCAAACTTCCTACCACCATCCCTATTTTCAGACATAAAACAGGAATACATTTTCTGTAATGGATTGTTGTCTCAGACTTAAATTCTTATATTAATACTTCAGCAGACAAGAACTCAAGAGAAAAATCTTGTACTAGTAAAATTAAGTGTGTTGCTGAGAGGTTTTAGTATCCTTGCTTACCAGTGGTGGCTTCAAGTTTGTTTGGTACAGATTTTTTATTTTTTTTTACTTTTTTTTTTAGCTAAAAAGAGCTAGGAAAGGTTATTATTATAGAATAAGAATCTAGCTTCAATTTAAATATGCACTGACTACATCCTATACAGACAGCTCTTGCTGTGCTTTAAGGGACAACAGACTTAAGATACTCCCAGTGTATTAAATGGTACAGTCTTGGATTAACTATCAAGAAAGGAAATACAAGTCTTACTCTTGCTGTAAAGAGCTTATATTGGATCCACAGAATAAAGCTGTTAACACCAATCTCTACGATATGCTGCACACATTCTGCATCACGGGCACAGAGCATGCTAAAGGTAAAGACTGAGACTGAAAAACTGACATTCAGAGAGCAGAGAAGCTTAAGAGGACTGGAAAGACCTATGCTTGCAGTAGCCTGTGCTATCAGGTAACATGCTGCAGCATCCTGTACCAGCTTGAATATACAGACACTAATAGCTCTGTATGCAGACATCATAATCACATGCTGCTCTTCCAGACGTCTGTATTTCAGTTACTTATGTGCAAAAAATGGCAGAAGTTTAAATTATAAAGCCAAGTGAAATCTGTTATTTCCTACCTTTCAACATGACATATTGCAATTGTAAAGATAAAATACTGTCTCCCAACAACTATTCTGGACTTCGTTTTCCCAGAGGTAAAAGCATCAAGGGTATGAGAGATGTATATATAATTGACTGTTCTTACACATTTCCTCTTTCTTTAGCTGGGTGTGGGGGGAAAGGGGAACACAAACTAAAATCCCAGTTGTATTTACTGCTTGCTAGCATTTCATTAAGTGAAATGGGGGAAAAATAAAGCCAGCAGGTTTGATGTATCCATCTGCTATGCTGTAGCAAGCCCAGAATGCCAGCGTCTCATCATTTATTTAAACCTGCTCTGTCAGCAGGCTTGCTTTTGCTCCACTCTCAAAGAACTGTCTCCTACACAGGTGACACACATGACAACCCCTTTTGTTGACTTATAAACACTGGCATTTACCATAGAGTCATCTGGTTTTTCCTTTTCTGGGGACAGTGTATGCTTCATCATTAATACTACAGACAGAAAAACAGACTTTCTTTTGTAAGCTAGAGGGCGATGAAAAGGAGCATCCTGGATTCAACACCCCTAACATACAGGTTAGGCCAAAGACATTTTGGATTTTTTTTCTACTACAAAGTCATTTGCCATTGAAAAAAATAAACAAACAAAGTCAACAAAAACCAGCCTGCCAAGAAAACAGTATTACTGCTAATAGAATGTTTTAATTAAACACTAACCAGCACTCGTCCTCCAAAGATGTAACCTTTATTTCCCAGCACAGCACATGTATGAGCTGCTCGAGGCTGAGGTGGATCTCCACCCTGAAAGAACCAAAATAAGATCCTTCAGAACATCATCAAAGGGTACTGGTAAGTCAGCCAAGGATAGTAGTAAGTCAGTAACACAGACACTGCAAATATAAGGCCAACACGCATCAACATGCTGACAGAACTGCAGCTTTAATAATGAAATCATTTGTAGTCATGTCCAAAACTCCACAGACACTAAAAGACAGGCATAATTGCCAAGGACAGCTTTAACTGAGTTCCCTCAGTTGCTAATGTTTAATATATTCCCTCTTGGTCTGATTTATCATTCCTTAAGTGAAATTCAGTTAATTGATCTTTAATTCCTAAGCATAAAACTACAGTTAACACATCAGTTATAGTTGGTATCTGCTATGCAGTTTTATTTTTCCAAACTGCAAACCATCAGGAACTGATACTAAAATCTCTGGAAATCAGAGCTTAAAATTTCATGTTACATCCAGTAGCCACATGCCAAAAAGCCTTTCCTGTGTAAATCAGAAATAAAGACAGCAAAATTGGCTTTTACTTTTCAATGGTAATTTCTTTTTTTTTTTTCCATTTAGTTTTACAGGAATTTTAGACATCCTATAAAGTCCATAAAATAGTGTCAGACGCTCATATTTTACATATATATATTTTATATATATATACACACACTTCTACTTAGTTCTTACATAAATTGACCAGTATTTTATTAACCTTTATTGTATATTATCATATTAATAACAGTAAATATAAACGTGGACATTACTATTTTACTGGGAAAGCAAGTGTACATGATCTTTTGGAAAACTATTAAAAGTCATGTATTTGCTGGAGAATATCTGATCTGTTTATTCTACCAGTATAGCATGACTGAGACAAATTTATTCAAAAGACCTTTCAACATTAACTTCTGAAGGGAATACAACAACTCCTTATACACAAAGCTCAAAATAACGAGCGTATAACCTTCACATACTAAACATGTATCTTTATGCCAAAAAGAAAAACTGAAGGTCTAAATAGCAATACAGTGTGTTTACTATCTCTCACCCCTTGCCTTTAAGTCTGTGAAAGGTGAGCCAAGGGAGACTGGATTTAAAGACCACTATTGTTCTTTCAGCCTGATATACTATCCTTCACACTGACGTTGCAGCTTTATGAAAAGGGGGAAGCAGCAGAAAGGAAGAAATCTCCTGGCAGACTTTAATCTCTCATGTGGCCAACTGTCTGTTATCTGTGACAGGTTATCCATGTTGCAGATTAATTATACACAGATACAGGCATCCAAATGGCTTTATATGAAAACAGTTCAGTTTGGCACTGTTAAAACCTGTGTTTCTACCACATGCTCCCCAAAGACCTTTGCTTCATTCCAGAACCCTTGGCTAGGTGTGAGGCAGGATGAATACGGAGCTGGCCTGGGCTGGGTGTGAGGCAGGATGAATACGGAGCTGGCCTGGGCTAGGTGTGAGGCAGGATGAATACAGAGCTGGCCTGGGCTAGGTGTGAGGCTGGATGAATATAGAGCTGGCCTGGCTCAATTAATGGCTGTATTCCAGCCATGACATTCTTCCAGAGCCAAAGCCCTGGCAGGGCCTATAAAGATACCCAAAGTTGGTATAATCATAATCCATTTCTGCAGGACCTGAGCTTGCTTTGTGCAGAGCTACACCACCTCCACACCCTGTTCCTCAGCCCTACTCCGGTATTCCTACTGAATGTTTTCCTGGAGCATTCCAGTTCCTTGCCTTTCCAATAATGGAGCGCTGACAGCAATTTTATATTCCCAACAGTTGCTTTAAAGCTTGAATACAAAACTTTATCTCAAAACTATCCCCTAGATACAGAATATGGTATCATCCTCTAATGTACCCAGATTTCTAATACCTTTTCTGAAGCTTACAACTATTTTTTTTGCATCAGAACCACTTTATAGAAAAAAACCACACCTAATAACACCCTGTGGAGAAAAAAGAAATTCGTACCAGTTCTGAATTTTTCACCTTGCAGAGGCATTGAGTGTCCCCAATTCATGTTATAAGCCTGAGCAACACTAAGCGTATTCAAATTACCTTTCCTCAACATCAATTTCTAGAGCACAATAACTATTCAAAATGCAGTAAAATAACTGTGTTGAAAGACCAGACAAACACACTCACTCTAATGGCTGGTTCAGACCAAGTTTGTGTGGTTGTATCAAAAACATGAACATCATTGTGCCATCCCCAGAATATCTGTCCTTCCTAAAAGAAAAAAAAATTAAAAATAAGTGTATTTTATTTTAAAATCTTTGTGCTTATTAGATACAGACCCAGAAGTGATCCATCAAACAGAAAATGCAGAATTTTATTAAAAGAAACATGTTAATATTTTTCATAATGATGCAGCAGCTCAAGTCTAGTTGAAGGACAACAGCGTTCAGGAATTTTAGGGCTGATGAGCTTTTGAAAATGGGTTTTGGGCACCAACATAATGCACTGCAGGAGACAAATTTACCTTCCAATTTTGTGGGTAGCATACCAAGAAATAAATAATTGTACAAAGTAATACATTTCTGTAAGTCAGTATTTAACATTTGATGTAAAGATCTATACTCCCATGAATGCATATCTGTTTCTTATTAATTCATGTCACTAAATACTGTATTCAGTCTCCTTTCTATTAACTGTAAGAAATCTTATCAGGAAACTAACTAATCCAGACATCTCAAAGTAATGGCATTTACTCGGCATAACAAATTAAAAGAACTTAACTGAAAGTATTTGTCAGTTAGACTTGTGAAGCTGTACATTCCTTATCATTACTTCCAGGAAATTACTTCTAAAAATTTCTGGGAGTTCTGTACTTAAATAATATGTCTTCAGAATTAAAATACTGCCTTTGATTCTGCTTTGCCAGCATTTTGTTTCACCGAACTCAAAGCTTAGAACTGGCTACTTGGGATACACCAAAGAGCCAACACTCCCAATGTGGCATAGCCAAAATTTCAAATCTGAAGTAGAAGCTTCTTAATTTGCATTTCTGCTATAAATAAAAAAAAAAAACAGTCAGATTGTCGTACTTACAATCAATAAGGACAAAGCACTCTGAATTGTGACCACTCTCTTACCCAAAATGCATCATGGACATCAAAACAATCACTCAGTTCATTATGCTTCCTACAGCCATAGCCACCAAAATATATTAGCCTAAAAGAACAACAATAAAAATATCTTCAGTTGGCTACTTTGTAAATAACATTCAAATGAATAAGCTGTAATAATTTATTTCAGATTTTGGTTTACCTACTGTACTAGTAATAATATAAACAACTTAAAATATTTCATATTGCACCTAATTACATAGCAATCCTTACTAAGATGAAGGTAACAGCTACACTCCTCAACAAGCTTGACAGAAATCCACATAAGTTAGGAAGGAGACTTCAGATACCCGGGAGTCCCTATTCTCTCTTTCTTCATCCACAAACTTATTACGGTTACATTTTCAGTCACGAGTCTCCACCTGACACATAACACACAAGACTCTGAAATGCCTAAGCTTCTGCTAGAATTCCTGCCCTTTTCTGTTGAAATTCCTGTGCTCCTGCAGTCTTTGCTAGCCTTCTGTATACATCTTTTCACAAAAAATGTTCCCAAGGTTCTGCCCACAAACTGCTTATGACCCACAAAGTTTTTCTGTACTTATAAAGAGATTCTTTCAACTAAGCACTACTGAACATTTTGCATTGCAAGTATTGTTACACACCTCCCAGCCTAATATTCCACCCATGAAATGGCCATCCATAAGTAATGGTTCCTAAAGTTTTGTTTAACTTCAACATTTGAGGATATTTGGTATAGTTGTTAGTGATCTTGGGAGAAGGCAATTTAGGAAATGATAGGGTGGTGAAGGTCATTCCAGACTGACATTCCTGGGGAAAGAGAGTTACTGAAAGCATTGTGCAATACACCAAGACATCCTGATCTGCAAACTCACATCTTGTGAAATTTTAACGTCTACTTTTGAAAAGGTGCGTAGCTTGTCCCCAGATATTGTTAAATGAAAAGGTTACACTCTGCCACCTAAAACAGGTGATTTTCTCAGTATGCAGATTACATGATACTCTGAATAGATGAATTACATTTTTAATAATCTCGTATTAAAAGCTTAGAAGTTGTTCAAACATACGTAATTTCATACATCTTGCAGTTAAATTTGAATTACAAACCCAAGACAGAGTACTGAGAGGCATTATACAGTTTATGCAAAACCTCTTTAGATGTAGATTCCGGAAACAGATAAATAATTTACATTTTATAGTGCTCAATGTACATCGTATTCTTGTCTACAATAACCTTTATAATAAATCACTGACATCTCACTTGTGACTAGATATCTAGACAATAAACACTATCTGAAGGAACATATTTATTCTCAGAAAGTATTTTTTCTCAATACTCAGTAATTTTTACAAACACAAATACCTAAGATGACTTGATTCTTATAATCACTGAAATGCTTTTGCAGCTGTCAGCATCTGTAGGCTATTAAGTATCTTTGAAAATGTACTAAATATATTATTGCAGGTAATAATTTAATGTTTACGCAATGGAACAAAAACAAACATCATTTTTATATTGATTTTTTAATATGTTAAAATTAAAAATAGAAGTAATAGATGCATAATGATTTTCACCTGAAGCCTCAAAGCATCCCACAAACTTCTACTAAATTTCCCACCCCTCTCCTAAAGTGGGTTTATACTTACCATTAATTCAGCTCACATGTGAGAAAACTCTGGTAGAAAGTTGTTAGGAGAATTACACAAAATCCCACAGCAAGTCAAGCTAAGAATTAAGAGTTTCATGAATCCCAAACCTGCGGGCTCTTCACTTTATAGTACTTCCTCTCTGCAATTAACACATATTAAATATTCTTAATGTGTTACCTGTCCTTATACACCCAGCAGGAAAGCTTGTCACGTGGTGTAGGAGGTTGACCTTTAAAATTTGTAATTTTTTTCCACCTATAGGTTCCATTTTTTGTTCGCAAATTAACATAATAAAGCTTAAAAGAAAAAAATTACAATATTTTCAGTATAAATGATGTTGAAGAATCCAGCACAAATCACCAACAAAAAGAACAACCCACTACCCCCAGAATACACTCATTCCTTTGAAAACAAAAACCAAAAGGAACTGACAGTGAAGTTTACAATATGTAGCAACATAAAGGAGATGAATATACACAAGAATACACAGTTAAAGTGTCAGAATTGGCAGCAAGGTTCCTTGCCTTCACTCAGCCAGACCAGACCAGTAATATCCCGCTCTTTCCACAGTCAGCTGAAGCCTTGCAAAATACTTCTGTGAGACAAACAGCTCAGTTCAATTCTACTGGCAGAACTGTCAGTAGTTCCACCTAACCTAACCAGGTAACTGCAAAAATCAACAAGGCCTGTGACAAGGTACTGAACTGAGATCTGGTTACAGGCTCCATTTCAGTTATTTTCTAGTCAAGACTGAAGTCTGACTTCATTTACACTAAATGCTAACACAGCTCATTTCAGCTATTTTGCTATACCAGTCTTCAGTTACAAGGGAAACAGGTAGCTCTATTTTAATGTTAATTATTACCTGATTAGATAAGAAAGGTAATCACTATTAAAGAGCAAAAAGAAAAGTGATATTCTGAGATCAATTTCAATTTCGACTGCCAAGATATTAAAAAAATAAAACTAAATTGAGAAAGCACTGGCAGTTTTCAGAAATAAATATATGAAGTTTCACATAATGGATCTTACTCTGAAGCTATGATTCAGTGAAAAATATGTGGAGTTGAACATTACTACAAAAATTAAACGTTTTTTGTCAGTTTAAAAGTATACTTCTTCTACAAAAATAAAGCTTTTCCTTAAATGTCTCCTTAATTCGAATGTAAAGTACACCCGACAAAACACCAGTGAAGTCAGCAACATTATTCATTCAAATGCAGTATTAAAGAAAATAATACAATACCCGATTACTGTATCCTTTATCATCAAATCCACCAAATATGTACAGCTTCCCATTAATGCTTGCCCCACAGCTTCCTGACATGGAGGTGGGTAACTCTCCTTCCATTAGGTGCATTGTCCTGCAATTTAGCACATACATTAAGCCTTACAGTGCTGCTTTCACATCTGTTAAAGTTAACAAACCTAAACCAGACAAATTAATGATTTTTAGACTTAAAGCTCAAAGTTTTGGGTATAATTAGCACTAGAAAATATAGCAGATACATGAAGTCAGCCTTCTGTGTTCTAAGACGACTTTCATATGAATACTGTGCCTATGCTTATGAAGCATCTCAATTTTTCTGAAGTTGAAGCCCATCTTAGAAGAGCATTCATAGAGCTGAAACATGAATTATTCAAAACCTGGAAGTACTATTAACTCCAAAAATCCCTGAAATTATAACATGGTATTGCTGTTATTTTACAAATGGAAAACTGAGGCAGAAGTAGAAATAAAGGTCAGAAGTACTCCCTAATTTTCATACTCCACTCGTAAAACTGCATTTTCCACTGCACTGTAAAATGTTTGATAATGACAATTTTAGCAATGAGTTCTCTGTTCTGCAGTAGCAGCAGCAGTTCCTAACCTTTCCCTTGCTAGTCTCACCTTACAAACCAGTAACTTCCTGCAATGTAAATTGTAACATCACACATCTCAAGCACTACGCAACTATCTGATTAAACTTGATTTCTCCTGGAATCACGAGGCTGAGCATTCGGCCAAGACTGTGCTTAGAATCATCACCCCACACTGAAAACAGCTTCCCCAGAATCTCAAATTCCTACAGAAGATAAGGACCTGCACTGCCCTCTCACACCTACATGCACAGAAGACATGATTTATTTCAGATTTCCACCTTGTTGCCATTCCTTCAGCCTCTCTAGATTTAGCAGCCAAATCCCAGTCTCTCTGTGCTGGTGCTCCAACTCCTTGCCCCAGCTTTTGCCCCACAGTTTCTGGTTGAAGCTTCCGTTCCCTGCCATTCCCACGCATTTTTCTCAGCCCTCCACCTGATATGACTCTGTGCCCTCCACCTGGGTCCTTGACCCAGTCTCCCTCCTCAGTCATTGCCTCCCATCTTCAAAGCCTGATTCCACTTTTTCTTCTCTCTGCCAGTTCTGATATCACCACACGTATTGGCCCAGCCAAATCCATTCATACCCTTCTAATACATCTGTGTCTAGATCAGATGCCTTCATTATCTATTACTGGTAGCTAAACAGAAGAAAAGGATTCCTACAGCTTTGAGTTCTGACGCTTGACCTTACCCCAACCTAAAAGAATTGGAGGCAACCATCAAAAGTAAAAGCTTCTTATGCACTAAATCACCAGCTGTGAACAAGGCACATGTAACCTGTCCCTGCTGAAAACAGCAATCACTAACGACTGCTCAGGGCACTGCTCCCAGTACCTTTGTTCTGGCACTGGCACTGCCACAGGCTGGCCCTCCTTCCCCTTCTCTGCTCTCCCTCTCATTTCTGCTTGTTTCCATGTCATACTGTGCACTCAGCTGTATGTGTACAACTGTTTGTGCTGCAAACAGAACAAGATCAAGAACAGATCCCGGTTAAAAATAACCGTGGAATAAGAAAAGTTAAATTTAACTCAGATCACTTTCCTGATCCAGTTTCTCGTGTGACCATATAAAGAGGTGTACTAGACCACCGGTCCAGGAATACCAGGTGTGAAAACCGAGAGAGTATGAGGTTGCTTTAGCCAACCCTTTCACCAAAAGAAAGAAGCAGCAAACTGCAGTGTCAGTGAGGGTACAATCTTGAAAATGAAAAAAGACTTGCTAGAACTTCACAGCTAACCATGTGCAAACTGTTGTTTTTGAAATCAGTGACTTCACCACACGCATGTGGAACTTTCTACATACTGTGAGACACCTTCCTGGTCTAGCCCTCCTCCCCTTTTTCCTCCGAATTGTTACTTTGAATATGGGTATGCAAGAAATACATAAACAGTGGGAGACTAGAAATACAGCTAGCAAAAAACACATTTAAGCCCAGATGGGTACTACTTCACCAGACTGAATGCAATTATTGTAATAGAAAACACTGAAAAACTTTAAAAAGAGGTATTGTTCTCTCTCCCTGCATGTGACATGCAAACATAAAATGTGCGGATAAATGGCTCGTGATGTGAAAGGTCTGGTTATTTTATTTATGCAAATACACTCAGAACACAAGAAATAACAAAAAAAAGGTCACCGTAAATAGATCAAGAACCCAAATATCCAATGTTTAAATATTCCTTTTAACATAAAGGTTAATGCATGGAGAACTAAGCCAAAATAAATGCCTGAATAAAATACACCTGTTTTAACATCAGAGCCTTAAGCCAACAATTTCAAATGTTCTGTAAAAAAAAAAAAACACCCAACCCCAAGCAATTATACTTAATGAATTAATGTGTTTCCTAGGGTTAATTTGCAAGTACATACGTCTGTCCTTCAGTCTTTACATTAAACATCTGCTGTTTAAGCTCCAGAGAACATGACAAATAACTCCTGTACCTGAAGTCTTTTTACCGCAGCTAACTGTAATTTATGTGAAGATTAACTTTATATATTATTTAAATGTAGAGGATGCAACTCACCATAACCCACTATCTATTTCATAGATCCAGAGCTCATCATTAGGCAAATAAACTTCATTTTCTTCAATTGACTAAAACAGAAAAAAAAAAGATAATAATGCAAACGTTGAATATACTATGCATTATACACCATACATTTTAAATTTAAATACCAAATCATGCTACTTAGCAACACAGAATAATCTTAAGGAGATAATTTATTACAGCATAAGTCATACCCCAGCATTATTGCTCTGATCGTTACAATTTTAAACAGGCAGTTCAACAATGCTAGTATTTTAATTTTATGCTAGAAGTTCAAAAAAGATGCTTTTCACTTTTTGAAGCTATTAAAAATACTGCACTAGGCATTTCTTGATGGCACTGAGCTTTGCTGATTGTTAATAGCATCTTTATTCACTCAGTTTAAGGTGTGAAGATTATAAAAATATAAGTTTGGTGTTTCAGAGGTAGTGAGAGAAGTGTTTCAATATTCAAAAAACGATAGGAATAAAGTAACCAATTTGTAAAATTAAGAAAATAGCACAGGTGAACCATTAAGTCATAACAAAACATACACAAATGCTATTAACAAGTAGCACAACAGTACTATAACATGACCATGAATTTAAAAAAATAAAAATCTTGAGAGACTGTCAAAAATATTTCCTTACTCTATTAAAATGCTGTTTCTAAAGGAAGCATTTTTTCAGTTACTGATGTGATCACTCTGAGCAAATTTTTCTGTACTCTTAGCCTTCACACCTCCAAATACAAAAGCATCAAAGCCAAGCATCAAAGTATTAATGCTGTTCTTCACATTAAGGATATTTTCCTTATTCCACAACCCCTCTATCTTTTACAGAAACTGAGACTGTTCTGCTTTGTAAATCGGTAAAGAACACAACAACTAAATAGAAAGTTAGAAAAAAAGTATGCATTTTGGAAATAAGGAACTTAATTCTTCAAGGCCTACTCATTAAAGGCACAGATTTACCAGCTTAAGGTTTTGCCAAGAAAGATGTGTAACAACATAAAATCAGACCAGATTTAAAGCTTCCAAAATGAAAACACATCATCTTTTGTTTAGCAAGACACTTTTAATTAGGAGGCAATTCTTGGCATAATGGAAATGTATAGAGAAAAGTATAACTGAAAAACACTTCCTTCAGTTACTTGCAGTGACTGAAGGAAGGAGCTTGAAAGAACAAAATGACAAATATAAAGTTTAGCCTATGCCATAACACAAAGGAGCAAATTAATTCCTCTGTGGAAAAGAGGTATATAAAGACTCCCAAGCAGAGGCCATGTAAGAAAGAAAAATAATTTGGGAAGTAATGATGAGAAAGAAAAACAAACAGGAGAATTAAGCCCAAAGAATGTAGTTGCAGCACTCAGGCTGAGTAACGACAACACTATTAATTATTGTCTTAGCATTAGAAAGGAATGGAAGACTAGGAGGCAATAAGAAGCCAGAGTCAGTAAATAAAAAAAAACCAAACCAAACAAGCCCACACCAGAATTAAATGAATATGAGGAAAATAAGTTACATACAAAACTGAAATATAATTATTAACAATTTCATTACTGATATTGATTACTTGCCTTTAAATGATACTTTATTATTACCATCTCAATTCAAAAGGTGACAACCAGGTACATACACACTATGTTTGATACAGTTTATCCTGCTAGGTACCTCTCATAAGGTAGGCTCTGCTGTCACAAGCAGCTTGCAGCATTAACAAAGTGCAGAAGTTTATGTAATTTTAGATATGTGAGTAGTCTGAGGCCAAGCATTTGCTACAGAACCAGCCCTGAGCAAATACACTGATGCCAAAAATAAGTTAGCTGGGCAGCAGTCCACCATCAACATGTAAAATGTAAAATCATTTAGTTGTGTAAAGTCCTGCTTAAAGAATAACAGTGATTTTCATAATACTCTCTACAAATAAATATGTGAAACTACTAAAAACGTTCACAAAGTTTATCTGTTAAACTTAACACACATTGTTTTGACTGTTCCATGAATCCAGGATCCTTTATTAGGAAACCTTTGAAAACACTATGCTAGCCAGCCCAACCTCAGTTTCCAATGACCAAAGCATAAACAACTACCAACTATTATCAACGATTTAGGCTGCATAGTTACAGAGAATAGTATGGAGTTTGAGGCCAAAAAAGGACACTGAATTCCTACACATCACAATGACTCACATTATTTAAATATATGCTTATTCTAAAAGTGGTTAACTTATTGACCCTACAAAACATGTATTAATTCTTACATGACTAGCAGTCACAAGAAACACTACCTACCAAAGACCCCCAAAGGTAAGAAAAGCTGTGAGAACACTTTATGGGCTCCTGAAGGTTCCTCAACTTCATTACAGTTTGGTATTAGGCAAGCCTAATTTGCCTAACCACCCAATAGGCAGAAGAAAGCTTGCCAGGGTAACCCAGCCAGCAAACCTCTACTGTCCTGCTTCCCCCCACCGCTGAGGGCTTATATTTCCATATGCAGTGTCTGCTTGTATTTTCAGTATTTCAGTAGTCACTGTCAGCACAATCCTCTACAGGTCAAATGCATAGAGTTTAGGAGCAGAGCAACTCAAATTCCATGAGCTGCCCAGCTCTCCCCCACCTTTGAAGGCCAACTTTCTTAGTTATAAATACATATATACACACACACATTAACAAAAAAAAAACAAATCAAAAAACAAAACCAACAAAAAACCAAACCACAAAAAAAAAACCAACCTACAAAAAAACACCTACCAAAAAAAACCACCAGACCAAAAACCATCCACAAAACTAAACCAAACCAACAACAAAATTCCATCTTCCAGGAAGTAAACTATAACATGCTTCAGGAAACAACCTGAGAGCCCTAAAAACATCCTTCCCTCTGCTACTGCACACACTCATAGTATATAATGTATTTTCAAATTTAAATTGAGGGGTCCCCAACCAGAATTCTCTGCTTGAGTACAAAAGGACAAACTTTGCCCGTTGGAAAGTTTACCTTAGCCCATGAAAAATACAGATAGAAGAATATAGAATATGTTAATAGAAACACATCACACTGACCAAACCCAGGAGCAGTACTAAACACAGCTACTTTCATATTTTAGGGCAAATGTGCACAGACACCGAGTAAAATGAACTTGCTGTGGTTAATGTAGTATCATTCATAGCTCTCTTTTGGTCTGAATTCATCCACAGGTAACAGTTACAACGACTTACTCATGCCAGAACTAGAACTGATCTTTCAGTGGAAAAAAAACCCATCAATGTGTTTTTAGTCTGCCACAAGCTTGTCTTTGAAGTGACAGAACTGCTTTCCGAAGGACGAAAACACACTGTACGTAACATACAACTACTAATAAGTAAAGAATGCAGGGGTTCCGGAACAAGAACAGGAATTACACACTGGAAAAAAAGCAACAAATTATAACCGTCACCCCACAGAGGAAGGGAGATGAGAGAAGCGTTCCCGGAGTACAAAGGAACCGCACGTTTGCAGGAAAAGGGGAAACAAACCGGCTCCCAGCCACTCCCCAGTATATGCTCCATGATGGAGGCAGCTGAAAACGGAGGCGACAGCTATGGGGGCTTATAGAAGGCAACAAACAGATGGTGGGGTGGCGCACACAGAGGAACCCCCTTTCTTCGCGCCCTTCTCCTCAGAGCAGCCGCTAGCTCCATGATGGAGGCAGCTGAAAACGGAGGCGACAGCTATGGGGGCTTATAGAAGGCAACAAACAGATGGTGGGGTGGCGCACACAGAGGAACCCCCTTTCTTCGCGCCCTTCTCCTCAGAGCAGCCGCTA